GGTGCCCATGGGTGCTGTCCCCCAGCAGCCGCGGCGGCTTTGAGGTACCGTGAGTTTCACTGCGCAACACAACTTACAACTTCCCGGCCCGATCTGTGTTTTAAATACAAAAATCTCCGTCCGTGTTGCTCAGGTGCTCCCATGACGCGAGGTGACAAATTCAAAAGGCTGTGCAAGAGCTACAATTACTTCAAACGAGTGTACCCCAAATAGATGAAAAATATTATTTCCTCCTCAAACTTACTGTGCACGTGAATGTCACAGATTCCACTGACTGTTTACAGACAGAATAGTTCTGTTTACAGTTCTGTGTGTTCTGGGTGAAAAAATGAAAACGGAACCTCAACATCATCAGTTTTCCAACTGAAAGAGCTGTCTGTATCCATCTAATTCCAACCTGCACTTCTCTGACATGCCTTTTCCAGGATTTTTTTCTGTTACAAACTGGATTACATTCAGAGAAAAAGATCTTTATCTACACGGGGCTGTTGTCAGGATGACTGAACCAGGGAATTACTGCGTTGTTTTGTAACTGTGATAACGTGGCCCTGGCATCCACGCTGTGAACCATACCAACCATCTCCATGCTGCTTTTCACGCTGTGCTGATCAGACTGCCTGTTCACCCCCATGCTTTATGGAATATATGTTTATCGTGAGTCCGACACTCCGAAATTACTGAGGCCGGCTGGATGAAGCTCGCCAAAAAGTGAGCAAGTGAGGAAAAAGCATGTGTCCGCACGAGTTCAGAAGCGGTAATGAGGCCTGGGCAGGGATTCCTTTAGCCTGCCTCCCATCCTAGTTAATTCTGCATCTGCATATAGCATATATAGAATAAGATAGCACTTACTTCAGTTCATCACAACAGGTCTGAAACCATGCAAACCCTGAAAAGGGTTTTTTTTTTCAGTGCAAATCTCAAAATGTCATTTGATTTCTGATGAGTAGAAAGATACTAAAACTGCATTTGAGAGATAGGGAAATGCTAAGCAGAAGGTAAGTGGCACAGAAGTATTAAGAAGACGTGAACGTTGCTAATTCCAGATGTGCCCCAGAGTCATTACAGAGCGACAAGGACGGCACAGCAGATGCTGTGCACATAAGGGGAGTTACAAAGTGAAATTCTAGGTACGCAGTGTCCTAGCAGGGCCCTTGACTTACAGAAACAGTCTGCTTTCATCCAGGCTCCAGGTAGATGTCTATGCCCTCTCAGACAATCAGAACTTCCAACCCAAAACATTCTATGAATTCTATGAACACGGAAGGCATAACTCTGATGAATAAAAGCGATTTATACTTTGCTGGGTTCCCCTTAGCCTTTATAGAATCACAGAGAATCACAGAATCATTTGGTTGTAAAAGACCTTTAAGACCATTGAGTCTCACTGTACCTGTCCACTGTACTGACCAGTACCCCCAGATCCCTCTCTGCCACGCAGCTTTCCAGCCACTCATCCCCAAGCCTGTAGCATTGCATGGGGTTGTTGTGACCCAAGTGCAGGACCTGACACGGCCTTGTTGAACCTCATACAATTGGCTGCAGCCCATTGATCCAGCCTGTCCGGATCCCTCTGTAGAGCCTTCTCACGTAGATCAACATTTCCACGCAGTTTGGTGACCTCTGCAAACTTGCTGAGGGTGCACTCAATCCCCTCGTCCAGGTTGCTGATGATGTTAAACAGAACATTGAGCCCTGGGGAACACCACTTGTGACTGGCCTCCAACTGGATTTAACTCCATTCACCATCACCCTTTGGGCCCAGCCATCTAACCAGTTTTTTTACCCAGCAAAGAATATGCCTGTCCAGTA